ACCGTGATTGGTCACGCAACTACCTAAGTAGGAAAAGTAATCTATCACAACTAAATCCTGGCCATTTAGTGTTAGAGCGGGATAGACGAAACTGTTTCATCTAAATGGGCAACCAAGAGACAGAAACCACATCGGGCGCACGAAAGTGCATAGTTAATGGTTGTATCAACTGAAACTGAAACACTCCTGAAGATCTGGACAGAGCACACTTGACTGACGAGATATCTGGAAAATTTTGGACCACTTTTGGAGAGCTCATAGTTAAATTTTAGTTCTACTGAAAGAATTAGTCTATTGTAAACGACGATTCAACTTTAATACCCTCACCCAATTGACCGATCCTGCTTTATACCCCGCACACAAACACTGGAATAAATATGGTCCAGCATTACGTACATGTACTGGTAAGAAAACAATAGCAATTTTAATGATTACAATAGCTTCAGAGTTTGATTTTGATTACAGGAACCTAATCTGATCTGAATACTACTTTATTGGTTGAAGTCAGTTCCCATGGCATCATGCTTTTTATCTGATTCAACAACTGTTTGATCAGTAAAGTACCACAGTGCAATAATTGGACCTCCTCTCCGTCAGATTCTTTTATCGGTGACGTAACCAATACCTTGATGGTGCGCAGAAAAAATCCAGTGGTGGTGGTGCGGTTCAAGTTGGTATGAATACAATCCTGATTCTTTATTTTGTCAAACCTTCAGAGTCACTGGTCTTTCAACACTGCACGATTGGCACTAATCGATTAGCACATCCAGGTTCACTAAGCTAACTTCGTTTGCTCATCGCCAAAATATTATTTTCATTTGAATGCACTTGTCTTATCCAGTAACAAGGGTTCGTTACGACAATCCCTCTCTTGGTTGACTAATGATGCATTGATTATTGACAGACAGTTTGTTTTGTAAGACATGTTAGTCGATAACTTACCACGATTCAAGCATATTTGTCACATATGCTTTTAAAATCAGAAGACCGTTTTACGTATCACGCGATAAAACGCCTCATCCAGCATGTATATTACACTCTATCGGTCAGTACACATAGCACTTTTGTGTATAGCAAATTGGGGACTAAGTTCCACGTCTCTTCATTATCTCTATTTTGTAGTGCTATTCCGTATAATTATTTCGCTGATTTGGTCACAGCATTTGAACACGTTTCAGCTCTTTCTACGCGACACTGGCCTTCCTCTCCTCGGTGCAACAGGTTAGAGTGCATTTCTGATTCTTTTATTAACATCCTCCCCTCCCCCCCCAGTAAGAGTATGTGCATGAACGAACCGAAGCATTCCAATCTTCGTACACATTATAGTTGGTCCCGAATATGTTAAATCAGGGATTAAAAGCATTTTAATAATTCCCTCTAGCCGAATTTTCTACGATTTTGTTGTTTATGTTGTTATGCTCTGTCGGTTATGTGGTAGTTGATTATGCACCTTGTCGCTTACAATGATTTGTTTTTTAACTGCTCTGCACTTTACGTGGCAAAATACTTGTTTCAACTGAGTAATTGGATCACGAGTCACCGATACTTGTCACTATTCAACATAAAAATATTTCACCCTTGTGATCTTTAAGAGTTTCAAAGTATCTGCTAGGATATCTCCAGTAGGATTAATTTCATCGTCAACGGAATGCAGAGGCAGGTGAACTGTAAAGCTAAGAAGCCTTGTGCATTTAGTTTAACCTTGTTAGAGCTAATCGGCGGTGCAAACTCATGGGGAATTTTGGACTGGGGAGTCCACGGCGAGAAAGTGAGCGGCCTACTCACTTCAATTATGTTTCTCTAAAAAAAGTCCTCGGTGGATATCTGCAAGGGCAGGAAAGGAAGTACTAAATGTGACGCCCACATTAGCTTAGCACCTCTTTACTCCCAAATAACTAAAACTACGAGGTAGAACGGGGAAAAACGGTAATTTTCACCCGTTTTGGGGGATTACTGCAGCGTATTTTAGCCATGAATAATTAAGGTTAGTGCATTTTAAAACCACTTGGATGGTTCAACCACTTTTCTAAGATGTGATTTTAAGCATTCCCCACTCCCAGGAACAAAATAACCATCAGCGTTAATCAAAATCCATCTGGTTTCCGCATACGGTACAAACAATACGATCACACCAAATTTGATCAACCTGGGAGATTTAGTTACCGGCAAGTAGCGGGGGAAAGAGTGAGGTTAGT